ACGAGGTGGACGATAGACCTAATTATACCCTGAACCCCGAAACCTACTTTTTTTCTCGGCTAATTGGGGCGTGTGTGCAGAAAAAGCTGCAAGGTACACTGTACCATCACAGGGCTTGCAGCTGCAGGCCTTACCAGATGACCCTTAACAGACCCAAAATGTAGAGATCACTATACTATGTATTCTGCTACTAAACCATTCTTACGGGTACATATCGTCCACGAGGGATGGTGCTGGGTGCAGTGGGCCCAGGAGGCAACGATGCAAGGAGACGCAGTAGTCCTCCTCACCGGTACCCAACGTACCTACCCATTAATACCATATGAACATAGGGCCCTAAACCCCAAACCCAAAAAACCCTAAACCCCTAAACCCTAAAACCCTAAACCCTAAACCCTAAACCCCTAAACCCTAAGCTTATAGGTACGTACCTGGACCGCTAGGATAAGCGAAGCCCGAAGAGGCTGGCCCCGGGCCCCGGCCCTAAACCCTAAACCCTAAACTCCCTAAACCCTAAACCCCCTAAGCCCTAAACCTTAAACCCCCTAAACCCTAAAAACTGCCTGAAGTTCTGCCCTGAGCTCCGAAGCCCTGAAGTTCGAATCCTCAATCCCGATCCTTGCAGGTTAGGGGTTTAGCGGTTTAGGGGTTTAGGGCGTAGGGTTTACGGTTTAGGGTTTAAGGTTTATGGTTTAGGGATTTCCTGTGTCAAGTGCTTTTGGCGATTGGTTCGGTTTAGTGCCGAGTTGCTTCGGAAATTAGCTGAGGCGGTTTAGCACTCCGGACGCTGAACCGTTCTGTGCCACCTATAGCTAAGTAGACCCAAACTATACGCCCTACAAGTGAATCATGATCCCCAAGACAAGCCCAGAAAAGAAACTGCTTAAGCCAATACTGCTTCTAATCGTCAGCAATATCATGCGGGTGTCTTCATAGCCTGAATAGGACTGCTACGGTAACAACTTCTGATTATGAGCCACTCATGGTTCCGCCCCGCATAGTGAGTATAATGAAAATAATGTAGGGGCCTAAATAACTAACAATACTATTTGGGTGGTTCCTTATTATAATTATAGTACACTGGCCCCCAAAAACCCTCTTCTAATTATTCAGGCCCCTATAGTCGTGCCTTACGCCGTGCTCCCTAAACCCGAGTCTCGCTAGGTACCTCGAAAGCAGCCACGGCAGCAGCTGAGCTGAAGTCGACCTGCCCATGTTCGGCCGACGGTGTAACATAGGGGCCATAATACTTGTATGGGTTTAGGGTTTAGGGTTTAGGGTTTAGGGTTTAGGTTTCGGGTCATACTATACTATACCCTAAACCCTTTTCAGCATGGGCTTGGATTGTGTGCCAGTGAACACACCTCATACCGTAAAGCCTAAACCCTAACCCCCCCGCATAATATCATAAGGAACCCTACAATATAGCATTATCTATCACTCAGGCTTGTCTATTGAGGCGCAGGGGTTGGAGTCGGTAAGAGCTCGAGGAACGTATCGCTGCGGTTCACAAGCCGGAACTACGAAACACCTTCTGTGCTGATTCTGTCGGGGAGTTTGAAAGGGATGCAGACTGAAGTCTCAAGACTGCGACCTCTAGCACTATTCTTAGGGTATATAGAGTGTAGAGTGTAGAGTCGAAGCGTTATTGATGTGAATGGGTCTTCTGTACCAAAGGCTCGGACGTGCAAGCTGTGCAATAGCTTCCGTGGCGCAGAACTTAAAACTACTGATGCACCGAAGCTGCATAATTCCCATAGCTTCGGGTCCTTCCAGGGTAGGTCAACCTTTAGGATTACATCCGGGATATAGTAAGGCTTTAAGGTTTAGGGTCTAGGGGGACTTAGGGTTTAGGGGTTTAGGGTTTAGGGGATTCAAGGCCCGGAAGTTTGATGGATGGCTACTTACTCCATTACTAGTATAAGGGCCTTACTTATTAGAATTGGGTGTTGGGGCAAAATATACTGTAATTATAACAAGGAACCCCCCAAAATAGTATATTATAGGTAATTATTTAGGCCCCTATATTGCTGCATTCTTGTCGGGCTGTAAGGTGCCGCGTGACTTCCCGACTAAGCTCGGAACCGCACCGAACCCTATGTCCCTGAGTCCCGCAGACACAATCACGAGCCCTTACTAAACTCTTAGCTTATCACCCTTCTAACATTTTATAGCCTCTGCGTGAAACGCTACTAGCCCTTATGAAACCCATCCGAACCGCGGAGCCTCGGGAAAAGCCTCGGGTTCAGGTGCAGCCGGTGCAGGCGCAGACGCTGTGGATGGCTCCGCAGCGGATGCTGTGGCCGGCGTTGCTGCAGCTGTGGCCTGGCAGCAAAAACTGATCGATTACCGGTGGCTGTAGTGGTGGAGGCAGTGCCAGTGCTGGGAGTGGTGTTGGCGGCAGTAGGAGTAGTCATGAGTCTTAGCAGCAATAGCCAAAATAGTTGACAGAGTTAGAACAAATGCACATCACCCTCGCGTCTCGACTACAGAGTTCGATCCTATTCTCCATATCCGTCAGCCAAGAATATTGACTTGAGCGAGGTGGTGAATTCAACCTCATGCCACGAACCTTATGTATAGCCTTGTGCTGCATTGTATATGAACTGAAAAGTGTCGACCTTCCCCTCCGCAGTAATCTTAACAAACATGAGACACTGAAGGCGACGTTATTTGTGCAGCTTGTGATTGGTTGACACCTAGGCGCCCAAATGCCTATAAGCCTATAAACAAAGAGTGCATGCACTACCTCTAAGCCCCGAAGCCCTAAACAGAATTCGAGTGAAGAAGAGTATGCTTTCGGGGGCCGCCTCAGCTGAGGGATTTAATTTGGTGCTGTCTGAGCTTGGATCAGGGCCTCGACTTTACACAGATGCAGAGCAGAAAAGATGCTGCACAAGACGGTGCGCACCACGCGCGCTTTCGAGTCTCCGTGCACTTGCTCTCAGGGTTTGATGTTGAACGGTTTCGGTTCAGTTGAACAGTTGATTTCTGGGGTTTAGGGCTTTCGTCCAAGATATCCTAGTATCCAGTGGGAGTTGCAACACCGGATGTCAGACAAATCTACACACAGCCATCTTCCGAGCAGGACTTCCAGTCTTCATGCCCTACTACTGCATGATGCAACAACGCCTTACGTCGAACTACATGGGCCGCTGGGCCATCTCTATGGCGGAAAGAATCCGCCAAGGACGGCCACAACTTGCATTACGAATTATTTTATACCCGAATACCCTAAACCCTGAACCCTAAACTGTTTCCTAAACCCTCGTCCTCTTACTTCCAGAAACCTAGTCCCGAAACACTGCACAGCAGCCCCGATACGCTGACCCCAACACCCCATACTAAGACCTTGTTGTTAAGCTCTGGTTATTAATAACCATAAAAAGTACCGTTTTTACATAGACCCTGTAGGACCCAAGCACACCCCAGAAACACACCAAAGAGAGCTCGGCCCAAGCGCGCCTCCTTGGCTTCCTTGGCTTGCGCCGGCTGGGTGGCATCTGCAGCTTTCAGGGCTTCTTCAGCCTATAAACCCTAAAATCCTAAAACCCTAAAGCCCTACTAAACCCTAAACCCTAAAACCCTAAACCCTAAACTGGGAGTTCAAGAGCTTCCACACGGGCTCAGGGCTTTAAGGCTTAAGGTCCTGTGGGAGGGCTCTGACTGTGAGCGGCTTCATCAGCTTAGGGGCTGGATGTAACAAGGGTTTAGGGTTTAGGGTTTAGCGGTTTAGGGGTTTGGGGTTTAAGGTTTAGGGGTTTAGGGTTTAGGGTTAGGGTTTGCGGGGTTCCTTTAAAGGGGTTCCTTAAAGGGTTCTAAACGGGCTACTCTAAGGGTTTAGGGTGTAGGGGCCTTGACAATTAGAATAGGGTTTTAGGGGTTCGTTAAAAGGGTGGTTCCTTAATCCTTAAAGGGTTCTATAAGGGCTACTCTAAGGGTTAAGAGTGTACGGGCCTTGACAATTAGAATGGGGTTTTGGGGGTTCCTTTAAAGGGGTTCCTCAAAGGGTTCTATAAGGGCTACTATAAGGGTTTAGGGTTTTGGGGCCTTGACAATTACAATAGGGTTTTGGGGTATATTATACTACCATTATAATAAGGAGCCCCCAAAATCGTATAGGTAGTTACTAAGGCTCCTGTATTGGTGCAGGGCAGTGAAAGGGGTTCCAACTAGGTTGTGGCTTGCAGCATCGCGTGTTTCGACGCGTTGCTTCCGGCTGTGGGGCTTGGGGTGTGGCGATGGGGGCTTAGGGTCTGGGCTTAAGACTGGGGATGAGGATGAGCTGCCGTGCCGGGATTTCTGAACGAGAAGATGCTTCCAGGCAAGAAACTAGCGCCGTAGGACTATGCTATGGAACAGCAAGAGTAGCCTTTATCGTGTCCAGGGGTCGATGTGACTGAAAAGGGGTTTAGGGTTTTAGGGTTTTCGGTGTGACATGCTAGACAAGGAAAGTACAACCTAAACCCTAAGCCCTAAACCCCCCAAAATAGTAGCAACTGCCAAAACCTCCCTCTGTTGCACGCAACCTCAAAACACATGAACATGTCAAGCCTACGCCCGAAGCCCGCACCTTGGAACCAATTGTATAGGGGGTTGGGGTTTAGGGTTTAGGGTTTGGTAATTAGAATACTAGGCCTTGAAGTAACCAGGGAGAAGGTAATGACAACTTATCTCATAATAATTGAGCTAAGTATGCTACTCCAGAACGCACTTTATTTGGGGTCTTCGTAATTGGACTATGCCTATGGGGCAAATTGCAATGCACTGTACTTACACAGTGATTATACAGGGGCTACAGGGGAATAGTCTTGCCGAGGATTCCGCACAACCAAGTAGTTGTTGAGTTAAAGGGTTTACGAGCTCAGTCACGTGGGAGTTTCACAGATTGCGGAACTCCACTTGTCTTAGACCCTTGCAGGGGGTTGTTACTTACATTGCTTTACAAACTCAGCTGCTGGAACAAGACCAGGGGAACTATCTGATCAAACACGGCTTGCCTTGTTCAAGAATCGCGAAGGACGTGCTTTTCTTGTAAACCTGCCAGGCACGCGGTAGGAGAACGTCATGCATGCGTGTTCTATATACCGTGGTATACCGTCCTGAATATTAAATCCCACCTAAACCGCAAACCCTTAAACCCTGAACCCTGATGAGACAGACCGTTCTGCGCCACCTCGTTTCTGCACCCACGAACGCAACATGACGGTTGAGAGTTTAGGATTGGTTAATACATCGTGATGCTGATGAGGTCATTGTGATCATTATCCTCCTCCTTCACTTCCATCATCATCAGCACCATCATCACCACCGTCATAAGCGTCGCCATCACCATCATCGCCAACATCATGAGCATCAAGAACATGCAAGACATCATCATCCGCAGGATCATCCCTGATAGTCATGCATGAACAGACAACATGTCCACCGAATTCTGCGAAATGTGAGTCCCTAAACCCTAGACCCTATGAGTACGCCCGAGCATTTACGGAGAGTAGAGAGCGCGACGTTTGGGAAGGCAGCATGGCCCTGCAGCGATGGGGGCTGATGCCCTGAAGTCCCCATGAGCGAAACATTAGCTACAATTTGGGATCCAATGTAGATAAAGTATGTACATAATATATACAAATACATATACATCTATGCACGTAGAGTATCTTAAAGTCTAAAATGGACAGAATGTAGATTTACATAGAGTATATACAGTCTTGTAGACGATGAAGTCCCACTCGGTGAACTCGCCGTTGTCGAAGTGACTCAAGACCCTTAAGCTCAAAAATCTTATCAGAACCAAGTAATATAGGGGCCTTAATAACTAGAATATGGTTTTGGGGCTCGTTATACTATACTTATAGCAATAAGGAACGCCCCCCCAAAAATAGTATAGGCAATTATTGAGGCCCCTATCTTCACAACCGTGGCTCACCTCTTTGGGTTTCGGGTGTTCTTTCGCCAAACGTTTGGGGATACTACACGTTTAGTGCTTAGGAGTTTAGGATCCACACACACTAGCCTGTGGTCTGCAGGGATTATGGATTCTAAAAATCCTTACCTCTCAAGCCTGAAATCTAGGTTTTTGTGAACTCTTCAAGGCACCTGTCGCTTCCTGGACGGCGGCAGCTCGGGTGGGTTCCTGCAACCATTATTGAACTGGGGTTTAGGGTTTTTTCGGGTCTAGGGACTGAGTATCCTAGAACGGTTTGAGGTTTAGAGTATAATAGCGTGTAGGGCGTGTTTTGCCTCCCGCCTGGCTAGGGCAAACCTACGATGCAGAGTCAATCCCGCGGGGCTTTAGGGTATAGGGTTTCAGGGCAGGGTAGCCCCCATAAAGTATCCCTTCTAGTAACCCTACTAGCAACCGCAGTTGGCTCAAGTGACTAAGATGCAGGAACGTTCAAGTGTGTGTGTGTGTGTGTGTGCGCGCGTGTGTGTGTTGTGTGTGTGTGTGTGTGTTGTGTGTGTGTGTGTGTGTTGTGTGTGTGTCTGTGTGTTGTGTGTGTGTGTGTTCGGGTTTGGGCCGTCACGTCTGACGGCTTCGGGCTTAAGGCTGCCAGGTGAGGTTCTTGGGTCGTTTTGGCTGGACGTTTGGACGTAACACGGGTTTGGCAGTGAGGTCCC